CCTCACTGCTTCATGGCAGTTGGTTTGCTATTGCTTCCAATTCTCTTAGGATGCCATTTTGTACTAGAGGTTTTCCTATGATCATTTTTAGATAGGCAATGATGTAGTTCATTTATGATTTAGGCCACAGGGTTGGGTATGATGGTACGCAGTTGTACATCCACAAAATGGAGTATTAAATATAGTTTCAGAGGACTTCTCAACTTTGTGGCATTTAAATACAATGCAAGATCATACCATATAACCAGACTGTGTAAGGGGATTTTGCGTTAATCTCTTCATCGACAGTCCCTTACCATCCAGATGGCTGCAGGATTAGTATGTGCCTGCATGCATATATATTAAGTCCCATTCCCTGTCTGTAACATTCTGCCAAATCCAAAGGGTGCAGAGTTTGAATTTTTCTAAGGAAATGTATTAGAATATGAGACAAGTAAACTTTCATAATCATGAGACTTCAATAGGACAGTAATGTAGCAGCATTTTTTTTAATCAGTGAAGAGTATTTTTGACCATCAGGATATTTTTTGCTTGTATTTTGCAGGACCTGGATGTGAAGGCAGGTGGGGGTTGTGTCATGACCATCGGGGAAATGCTTCGTTCCTTCCTCACTAAGCTTGAATGGTTTTCCACGTTGTTTCCAAGAATTCCTGTGCCAGTCCAGAAAGCCATTGACCAGCAAATTAAAAGCAGACCCAGAAAAATCAAGAAGGAYGGCAAGGAGGGAATGGAAGAAATAGACCGGCATGCAGAACGTAGACGTTCAAGGTCGTATACACATTGTTCTAAAAATGAATATTAAAAGTTCAATGTTGAACTATTTATTATTGGCAGCAAGTTGTCTTTTCACTGAGCTAGGTTTAGGTTTTAAGGCAACATTTTGTGGATACTAGTAGACACAAATAATCAGATGATATTTGGTATTTAAGATACAATACAGTCTGTTTATGTAAAGTATAAATTGCAAAGGAAAGAGGGTCTCAACTTTTGAAGGAGGTGTTTCACATAGAATATCTTCTATTTTGAAAGGTCTCCAAGACCACGATCCATCAGTCCCAGGAGATCTCCCAGAAGATCCAGAAGCAGAAGTCACCATCGGGAAGGCCATGGATCRTCTAGTTTTGATAGAGAACTAGAAAGAGAAAGAGAACGGCAGAGATTAGAACGCGAAGCAAAGGAGAGAGAAAAAGAAAGGCGGAGATCTCGAAGTACTGATCGCTCACTGGAACGGAGGCGAAGCAGAAGCAGGGACAGATACAGAAGCCGGAGTCGAAGTCGYGACAGGAAAGGAGATAGAAGAGACAGGGATAGGGAGCGAGAGAARGAAAATGAACGGAGTCGGAAAAAAGAGAGAGATTATGACAAGGAAAGAGGTAGTGAGAGGGAAAAAGATCGATCTAGAGAAAGGTCAAAAGAAAGGAAAAGTAAGGGTGATACAGAGGAGAGAAGACACAAGGATGACAAAGATGAAAAGAAACAYCGTGACGACAAGAGGGATTCCAAAAAAGAGAGAAAGCATAGTAGAAGTCGAAGCCGGGAAAGAAAGCATAGGAGTAGGAGCCGAAGCAGGAACACAGGTAAGCGCAGCAGAAGCAGGAGCAAAGAAAAATCAAGTAAACATAAAAATGAAAATAAGGAGAAGTCAAATAAACGAAGTAGAAGCAGAAGCAGAGGAAGAACAGATAGTGTTGAGAAGTCCAGGAAACGAGATCAGAGTCCCAGCAAAGAAAAATCTAGGAAGCGTAGCAGAAGCAAAGAACGTTCCCACAAACATGATCACAGTGATAGCAAGGACCATTCTGACAAACATGACCGTCGAAGGAGCCAAAGTACAGAACGAGAGAGCCAGGAAAAGCAACAGAAAAACAAAGATGAGACTGTGTGAATTCTTTCASAAGTGGATCACATTGAATCCTATAAATGTTTGATTAAATCCTGCTTATTTTTTCTTAAAGTTGAGATTGTGCAGTAGTTGATGAGCACTCTTCTCCAACCTCCCTCTAGGCTGCAGATTGTCATTTCCTATTTTGGGTAGGGAAGTGCCTTTGTAAACCCATTCAATGCATTSACGGTTTGAAACCATTTGTTTAGTTTAATTTGTAATGCAGAGATTGTTCTTGCATTTTTATTGTTCAGATGTTTCTGAAATGTACAGTCTGTACATATGTCCTGAAAATGTTTTAATTCCTTTGGCATGGTTGCCATGTTGGTTAAATTTGTATGAGGCAATAAACTGCCACTGATTATACTTTCCTTTTGTAGATGTGGAATTATGGTTTGTATCCTGAAGTTAGCATGGCTGTGCTTTCCATAATAGTRTGGCTTTTAGGGATGGATCTGGAATGTGTATTATAGCTGAGATATTTATGTGCGTGCAATGTACATTGAGGGCTGCAGATTTAGAACTAACATTTATGTCCACTGTACCTGCTGTTTTGTCCAAAGGTTTTTAAAATGTATTATGTTGATCACCAGTGGTGTTAAATTGAGCGGACTTTCAGAGATAGTGGTTTTAATACAAGAATTTAGATTGCTGGGGCTTGTTTAGTAATTCTGTAGGAAGGCTACCTCAAGTGGACACTGTAAAGGTTGACAGATGAGTATTGTAGCCATCCATGCATTTTATTTGTTTGAAAAAATTCCATGTAAGCTTCAGGGTTTTTTTAAAAACACAATTTATCCATTTATGGTCCTTTAATGTTTTTAATCAGCAGCTGCACTCGTCATTTATGATAACCCTGGGCTAATAAAGGCATTTAAGATGGAAAGAGGGAGGTAGGAAGAAGAAAAATGTTACAAAGGATTTCAGTTTCAAGCTTACAAAGCATTTTTATAAGTGTAAACATTTAAAATAAGAATTAACTGATAGTGTCCTTTTTTTAATTCATATTTTCTACAAATAGTAAAGATCTCAATTTGTGCTGAACATTTCATCTGGCAGATTTTTTTTTTAAACAGGTTGTTAGAAGCAAAAACCAAAATGCATTATAGAGAAAGATCATATCATTGAAGTCCAAGTCTATTTGATAGATTATTCTGATGACTTGTATACTAAGTGAGGAGAACCATCTGGAATAAACTCTTAATTAATTCCTTTGTATTGGGTGTCAGCTTTTCCCTGCACGTGCATTGCCAGTTAAAAAGTGCTTCAGTTTCTCCACATTTTATTTTCAGATCAAGTGACACTTTGTATGAATAATGGATTTTATGTAATAAGTAACTTATAACAAAAATGTAGCAAACAAATGCAGCAGCCCCAACATAGGAAGAGTATGAAGTCGGACTCAATGATGAAGTGACCTGCAGGTAAAAAAAAAAAAAATACTTGTGCCTTTTTTGCTTCTGTGTGATGCAGGTCATCTAGATATATTTCATTTTAAACATCCAGGAGAAAAGAGTGTTTTGACTTCTAACAGTATACTTCATTCACAGTATACCAAAAAACAAGTTTTTTTTCCTTCCTCCCTGCTCTTGCTGTTTTCTGAACTGTTMGTCTTTCCTTTAGCATCATGATCCTTAGTAATCAAAATTTTTTAGTACTGAGGTTAAGGTATTGTCTGCTTATATTTGTGTTACCTGATTTTAAATTGGAGCTTGAAACAAAACTAAAGCTTCAACAAATTCATTGCCTTGCAGCGTAAAACTAAAATACTGAGCTTTCATTTAACATCGGAGAAAAAAAAGAGATGCCCTGTCTAGTAGATTACCAGAACTGCATCTGCAGTCTGCCAAGGGATTGCATGGATTCTGTCCAAACAGTGAGGACAACTTTAATTTATCTTGTTTGTGTCTAGAGGGCTTCTTTTGGCCTTGATTTTAACCTTCAGTTTCTGAAACAAGGCCGAGAGGCTGCAAGGCCAATGTTCTGTCAGGGAAAATGGATTACTGATTCCCAGTTGTTCCTTGAGGGCTCCTCCTCTTCTTCTGCCACTGCTGGGCAATAAAGAATGGTTTATTTGCAGAAAAAAATCCAGGTATTTGAGAAACATCTTTGACCTCAAAGTGAGGAAGCACCATCTCACTACAACAAAGATGGTGAACRTTTTGATACAGCTTGTGCAAACACTGGCCCAAGCCCGTATCTTTTACAAGCGCAGCAATTTGAGGACTGGCTTTTACTGTTGAATAAGTGGTCCTTTTTGACCTTTGGATTTAATATGATCCATATTATATACCTGAGTTAGCAGTGTAATATTTGAGCTAGCAGTGTAATGGATGGCACAATATTCACTGCCAGCCAAGATCCMTGAAAATTGCTTGAACCCAGACACCTGTCTGAAATTAGCCTTGGGATTTACTGTCATACAGCTCTTCAGTTTGTATCCAGGGACTCTTAATTCTTTTTTGTCCTTCTGATGCCATTTCACATGCTCTTCCTTAAAACCAGGAAGAACTGTGAAAGGCTGTAAAAACAGCTCTGATGAGCAGGGGTGAGCTAGTGGAGGCACCRGTACTGCCCACTCTGATGCAGTTGCTGTAGTGCAGTACAGCTGCACTGGACATGCATCTCTAGGGCATTAGGAGAAAATTTCTGCCAATTTTAACTGGAGGAGTCGGGTTGCAGAGCTGTTGTCTCACAGTCTGTGCACTCTTCAGTTCTCAGGGTAAAATRACACTGACCGAAGCACTATGAACGCGAAGTTTTCATAGTATGCCATATGTTCATAATTGCCTAGCTGGCATAATTATCCCTTATGAAGCCTCATCTGTCTTCAAAATTCCCTGTGGCTCCAATGCTAAATACTGGAATAGTAATATTAGTAGCCTCCTACAGTATACAAGGTCCCCTCTTCATGGGAGCCTGAAGGAATTTGATGAATTTTGCTGGTTTTAGTAGATGTTTTACCCCTTTGCCCCACTCTGAAGTGTATGTAGCTTTACATATGGATGGCCACTGGCTATTAAGCAGGGTAAACCAGCATGTGTCTCTTTTTTACTGTTCACCAGCAATATTTAGATGTGGAACACTGCATAAATCTCCGTAAATTTGAGCCAAATCAGCGGAAATCAGCCACTTCCTTCACTGGATTGAAAACAAGTTTTGAGCTATTACTTCTGTGCCAGATACAATTAAAAATAATGTATATTTTGAATAATAGACTTTTTTTTGCTTGTGTTATTTGTGTAATTGCAACCAGTACATCTTTATTGTTATGCACTTAAATTTTTTTATTAAGTAAGCATTAGTGAAGGCATCTACTGTGCAATAACCTAGACTTTCAATTACCTAATCTGTTAGTCCAAGTGATTACACAGATACTGCTCTGAAAGCATCTATTTTAGCATAGCAATTTGCTGCCTACCTCCAAGTTTTCAACAGCAATTTTACTGGTTCTCAGGTCTTCTTACAAGAGGTTTCTGGGGTTGGGTTGCTTGGGGTTTTTTGGTAGGACTTTTGTTGTTTGTTTGGTGGAGAATTTTATTGTTTGGGTTGTTTTTGCTTCATGAAGTTCAGAGCTTCATACTAATAAGTAGTATAGAAACAGCATCTCTAAAAACACAACATCTAATTGTCCTTTCCTGTGATCTGAAGTCAGCATGACCCATGAAAGTGTATTTACCTCAGTTTGGAGAGAACCTGCAACTAATCCTGACCAACATTTTTTTTAAACAGCTCAGTGAATGCCAGTGTCATTTCACTTATCAGCAGTGTTAATTACTAGACTATTATTAGACAATGTGTAATGCCTAAGTAACAACACCTCTAAGTTGCACACTGCCACAGTAGGAGGTGTGTTTCTCACTTGGTTTGGTTGTGTTGCTTTTCCTCCCTGTTTTACTAATTGTGTTCATCTGCTACTCACTTTTTTAGAGCTGAATCAACGTGTTTTTTCTAGAAATCGTGACTCCTCTTCCACTTCTTGCCCTTTTTCCCCCCACAGACATGCAAATAAAACATTCTGATACAATTACACTTCAGTGACAAAAGTGAGAGGAGCTGACAAAAATAGTACTTCAGCATTGTTTGTGGTGTGTAATTGAGCTGTTAAGGTCTGTATGCMAGGGAGAATTAAGAAAACATACACCAACAGTTTTGTAGGGCTTAAAGTACRTTAGAGTTACTATTAGAGCATGGAATTATCAGAATTGCTTATGAGAAAAGTAGAATGGTTGAGGCTTGAATGTAGTTCCAAAAGAAACCAATTGGGTTAGATCTCTGAAAACCCAGTTAAACAGTTATGCTGTGGTGACAGTGTTTGGCAATGATGTCTGCAAAGAAGAAATATTTAAATAGAACCCTCAAGGAAGAAAGCTGTATATATTATTTTTATTAAGTGAGAAATAAAACCAACTTTCTATTAACTAATGCAGGGCAGTTTTAAATAATGTTTCCTAAAGAAAGACTTGTTTGATCATGACTAAATGCAGATAATGTTCTARGAAGCAGCATATAATTCTTAGCCATCTACAAGCAACTTGCTGAAGGGTGAAATTCCCATGAGATTTTGTCCAAGTGATCAGAAGCATTGGCTGAGATACTTAATAACCTAATGTATTCTCTGAAGAAAGGCTATTTCCACAATGGATTGTGTCTTTGTAAACTCAAAATAGTGTTAAGAACCCTGTTGTCTTTGGTTACTTTTATACACATGAGCTTCTGAAGACTGTGTAAAATTACACATTTGTAGAACCAGTGACCTTGAATTTTGCTTTCAATATTGGCTGAGAAAGTAACCAGTGTGGAGTGTGAGAGGAGGTCCTSCCTGGATTAGGTCTCAGATAGGCATAGTGTTCAGGTTCCCTCCTCCCGGTCCTCAAACARCTGTGAATGTTGTAGTTAGGCATGGATGTGTCTTTCCAGCTTCAGGGAAAAAAAAGACTGAAAAGAACATTTAGGGAGAATGGTGTTAYCAACAATCTTAACATCCAGGATAGCAGTAGGTGGTGAACAGCAGCAAAAAGGAGATAAGCCTTAGGGGGGAAAAAAGTCAGCAGTGATTTCTTGCCATCCACCTGAGACAAGAGTAGTAAATAGTCCAGAACACYAAGAGAAAGTAAATGAGTGCTGATGAATATTTTGATCTGTTTGGATTTTAAGGGCTTTTCTGGGGAACTATAGCAGTGAAGTGGACAAATCAGTAGTGACAGCAGGAGTAGACGAGATTTCAGAGGTTAATATGATGGATTTTAACAAACAGCTTATATTTATGATACACAGAACTGGTGAAGCATTTCCCTTCAATCCCAAAGACTTAATCAGCAGGAAAAGTTTGATTCATACATTCTAATATGATTTGCARTTCTTATAACTTACCTCCTTATCTGGACCAGAATTTTCATCTAGATGTGTTTTGCAGTGCTCTTTCCTCTATAAATCACTATAAAAGAATTTGGGAAGGAAAACAATTCCAGTTATGGAAAAGCAGCTGTTGAGAAATTTTTGTTTCAGTGGCTGCTTTTGAAGTTGTTTCTAGTAGTTTACATATGCAAATCAGGCACAAGATTATCCTGTTGAAATCCCAGATGAAATAAGGTAGAATAGGTTGAGGTAAGCAATTGAAAATATAAATCAAAGGTGCCACCTTGCTTCATTTGTAATGGGGTATGGTGAGGCCATAAAAATAAACCTGCCTTTTATTACATGCTATCAGATAGATAGTAAGTGTTGTGACCATGCATSATGATATACAGGCCACAATATAGGTAAGGTTTTGTGGTTTGTTTTTTTTTAATTATACATTATAAGATGGAGGAGTGAGACAAACCTGCATAACACTACCTTAAGCCTTGACTATCAAATTTATATGTTACATGCATCTTATTTAGAATTACATGATGCAAAAATACTTCATAAACTTTATGACTTTGTAATGAATGTACTGCTCTTACCCATTCCAACAGAGCTTCCAGAACAGGTTACTGAAATGACATGAAACAATAGTGTAAATTTTCAATGTCATGTTGTAAGCTGGAAAACATTATTAATCTGCAGCATGTAGTCTATCTATACAACTATGCGATCCCACCAGACAGCAGTATTTTTATAACTATATAACTATATAATATATAACTATATAACTATATATAGTATGTTTATTCAATCTGTGCCCTGGGAAAGGAATCCCAAAGTAATTTCTTCCCCTTTAAACAATTTTTACTTTAAAAATGTGCTTAGGAGTTATTAATTTATTGATTGGCTTCTTTATTTAAAAAAAATCCATAAAAYATAAAATACACATTTATTTGCTTCTATATTCTTAGCACTCCTAACCTCCCAACTGAAAATTAACTTCTGTGTATTCATYAGGATATGTGTGATCCATTTAAAACTCAGCACACATGTAGATAAGTGTGCCCAGTCCCAAAATGTTGCTGTGAAGTTCCATCACAGATATTGCAAGACTGCACCCATAAAGTTTACTCTGCAGTCAACACTAGAGCTGAAAAGTTCTATTCCATGCCACCTTTACCTGCATAAATTTGGGCTACATTTTAACCATCTAGCATGTATGGGGAAAAAAAAAACTCATTGAAAAAAATTTAAATTTTACCTGAATATATTTTTTTAGGACAAAACGTGAGCTTTGGCCTCTTGTCAGTCATTGGAGCCACCACCACAGTGTAGACATCCCCACAAGGTATCTCAGTAATATCACAGTGACTTAGACCTGAGCTGGGGGTACAGCTGAAATTGCCCTTTGAGCCACGTAAATCAGCGTTGTAGTTTATTGTTTCGTCAGAAGCTCTCCAAAACACCCTTATGCCATTGCTCCTGAGTCTATAGAGCTTCACCCCAGAAGGGCAGCAAGCACCTAAGAAAGTAAGAAACATTTATAAGCAAATTTTGTGAACGATGTATTAAACCAGATTACTGTGATTACCAGAATTTTAATGAGAAATTATTATTTCACAGAAAGCCAAAATAATTCTTGAACTGAACTAGGAAAGAAAAGTTTTATTAGAGTCATATTATGGAGCTGGAATTCAGTTATTTTTTCACATGTTGGAATATTGTTGCTCTCACCTGGCACACGACCTTCCTTAAAATGCCTAGAATCCTTTTGAGAGCTCTAAAATTTAATTATGCCATAGCACATTAAATWAAAAAACTTTCTGGAGCAATGTTATTAGAGCTTTGTTATATGGCCAGCTGATRGCTGTCATAAGAACAGGTCTTCAATTATATGAAATAAATCTAAAGTGCATTTATTTGGAGGGAACTACAGGTATATTAGCTGTGTGTTGAATTTCCCCTGTGATATTTTTATGTGAGGAACACTACACAAAGTATGTTGTATATTGTGCGTTTTTCTTCCCAATTGCATTTAGAAGTTACCTACTGGAGGAATATCCCTGATAGGTACAGTTGGATGTCACACCCGTCTCACTAATGGCTCTCAGAGATACTGTRTAGTTGGTGCCACATGTGATACATCCCAGGAGACAGTAGGTCTGAAGAGTGTGACACTTTGCCTGTCCTTTTGGAGACTCCAGTGCTGTCACATATGTCTGTGCACCCATCCCAACAGACCAGCTGATATTGGTTACAGATTGTGTCACTTGACTTAGTACCAGATCTTTAGGGCAACAAGGAGCTGAAAGAACAAAAAATAGAGAAGTCAATTCTGGTTTGGACCTGGAAAATGGAAGGTATTTGGAAGGGTTGCCAATAGCATAGTAGATGATCYGGAGCAAAGGAATGAAGAAGTGCATACTTTACAGGCAAACACCAGCATGCTGAAAAATAATTGACTCTGCTGGCAAGCTTCTAACAAACAGAATGTCAATGCAAGRTCCATTTGTCTCCAACAGTGGGTTATACATGATTGTTCACCAAGCTTCTAAAAATTATTAAAATTTTTCATCAGAATATCAGMGTACATCTGTAGTTAAATTAAACAGGGTCCATCTCTACCCCTCAAGTCATATAGCTCAGTCCAGGCTTTGTCTCTGTTTAAAGTCTCTTCCTCTACAATGTAAAATGACTGCAGCCAAACTGCCTGTTAGAAACAGACTCCGATGTATATTAATCTCTGTGCTGAGCCTGGGGATTGTCTGGSTAAGTGGTAGAGGACAAAACCTGTTAGCAAATTAATAGCAGCAATGGTGGGTAGGATGTGCTTTAATCTGTTCTTTACACTGCTTATTTGTTGACATGGACATTGCCTCATTGCCTCTCCTGTTAATTTTAATTATCAAAATGCTGACAAGGAAGTTATGCATTACATTAGTGGCTTACGTTATTACATTTTAGTTAGCTGTGCCAGAAGATAATTGGTTGCACTAAGGCCTCTCAGTGTGAGGCAACTGCCAAATGATCCTTCCTTTGTGTCCACACAAAGACACAGACAGGTTTATGAAAAGGATAATTTTCAGCAATACATAGTGTGATATGCACATATTGTAAAGAAAAAAAAAGCTAAAATCATAGAGTCATAGAACTATTTTAATATGCTGCTAAGTATGTTGAACTATATACGATTCCCACATACCTGTCTCTAAAGGGACACTGTAGCTTGGTAAACTCTGTCCTGCTGGTGATCTTGCTATAGCACTAACAGAGAAAGCAGATCCACAGGGAAGATCCGTTAGGGTACAGGAATTCCCGGTGCTTGTGCAATGCCAAAGTCCAGCCTCTCCTCTGGCAGTGACAATGTACATAGCTTCTTCATTGTTAGATTGCCACTGCACACTGATTACAGATAGACCCTCCTTTGTGATATTTTTAATTTCAGGACTGCAGGGAGCTGAAATATTTCATATTAATAGTATTTAAACAGATTGTTTATGCACACTATGTAAGTTACACATGAAAATAAAATTCCAGTTAGAACTGACAAATTACTTTGGAAAAGTATATGATCCTTACACACTTTACTCCTGGTGAGAATTTAGAATTTGGGATAGAATTGACGACATAAGATTTTGTGTATAGAGATAAATTGTAATTCTGATTTTCAGAACACTGAAGCTATCAGAAGCATTCAATACAAATTTGATATAAGTTCCTTCTTACAGTGTATTTTTAAAGACTTTTAGTTTTGGTGCTTTTTTTTGTTTGGGGTGGGGTTTTTTTGTTTGTGTTTGCTTTTTAATTTTTATCAGTAAACTTAGTAAAACAGTTAAACAGTAACTTAGCATTCCAGTACTGTTTTTCATCCACAAATCACTGTGGTGTCTAACAACTATTTCTTCAGCTAAATGAGTCATCACAATACCTGTTGCCACGTACTGAGGCACACATGAGGTGTTGCTGCCCCGAGCCTCGCTGAAGGAATACACGGTGATGTTGTAGGGGGTGTTGCACTGCAGAGCCGATAGGGTGCAGGCCGTGGCCGTGTCCTTGCACAGCACCACTCCGCTCCCACCGGTTGCTCTGGTCTCGTACAGGTCAGCGCCTCGCACAGGAGCCCAGGTGACCCGCACGGTGTCGCTTGACATGAACACGGCCCTGAAGTCACTGGGACAGCAAGGAGCTGGGAAGAGAARAGACAGATAGGGAAACTCGACTGGGAGTGGAAAACTGGCACAAATAAGACCCTTCTTTCATTTGTCGATATGCTTCGATACCGTATCGATATCCAAAGGTGACCAATACTATGCAAACAGTCTCATGAAGCACAGATTKACTTCTTAAATTAATTCAGCACCACTCCTTCCAAATCGATAGAGGACATACTCATGTTTAGGTCAGACACAGGAATTACATATATGCTTCATTTAAAATTTTAAAGCTCTAGAGGTTAAGTAACTCTAACAATGTTTTTTCTCAATTTCTCACTGAACTCATTATTTTTTTTCATTTTTCAAGTATAAAAACTCCTTATGAGGAAGTTTAAAGACTTTTCCTGAAGTAAAACTGGGGAAAAAAAAAAAAAACCGAACAGGGCTAGAATTCAAATGTTATGCCACGGTTGTGTGTTACTCATATGTCCTTGCCTGATGATTGTGAATTGTTGAACTGTTTCCAATTTTGTATGCATGTTATTGCACTTRACTATGCAAGTTAAATTTAATTGCAATGTGAAATGTTTCTTTTTTTCTGCCAACCTTTGTGTGTTATGCCCAAAACCTGAATAAAAATAGAAGTTTAAATCATTATCTTCCCTAAAAATGTCAAAACAGCTCTACCATAAACACAGTTAAAGGATCCAAATGAATTAGCAAGAATACATGGCTACTTACCGGTGGTGTAATTGAACACATCACCTAAAGGACTCTGGCCTGCCTTGTTATATGCAAAGACACTAATGAAATAAGTGAAACCACAGTCCGACTGGAAATGGCATTGAGTATATGATGTGTTGCAGTGCACTTCCAAGCCATCATCACTCTTCACAAAAACCACGTAATAATGACCAAAACTGACATTAGACCATGATACCAGCAAATGACCAGGTTCATCCTCCTCAATTGATATATTTACTGGTGCACAGGGAACTGAAAGAAAACATTTAAAAAAGAGAAAAGAAAAATATTCTAAATACAATTCTTTTTTTTCTTTCTTGAAGTTATATTCTGGTGAATAAAGGAAAATCAGGAATATGTAGAATTATTCTGCTCAGCTTGAACAGTTCTGTCTTGATTTAAAAAAACAGTAACTTAGCTGCCTTTACAGAGGTTGCTACTTGTATTTAGATGACAAGTCGGTATAATTTTTCCAAAACAAAATAGATGCTACTGTCATGTTTTACAGAAACATCTGCTTAAGGAGCCTTTTGAACAAAAACGGTGGCACCAGCCAATATTTCAAAAGGAACTTGCACCATGTGTGCTCACAAAYAGTAGGTTTGGATGATAATTGGAATACTAGCGTGAATAGCAGTTGGCTTCCAAAAGCCTCCATGTGTGAAAACCCTCTATATGGTATGAAACTCACTGGTTTTGTCTGAGTASAACCATCCTTTGCTTAGGTTTCCTTTCTGTTGGCATCCCAAAATGTCACATTAAACTACAAACTCCATGGCTTTTATTTAAATAACATTTATTTTCTTTCTAGTTCAAAGAAGTGTAGCTTGCTGCTATTAGAATGAATATACATAATCTAGCTGAGGCAGTGCTGGCTGATATTACAGCCAGCCCACAGCTAAATAGTTGTCGCTTACATAAGGCTCTCTCATCCTGTTAGATCCACCTCAGAGTTGCTYGCATGATTGATCTCCTAACACCTATCAAAAGTCAAAATAAGAAGGGTTTTATCAAATAACAAGTAAATGATGTTGCGTATTTAAAGTAGCATATAATAAAAAAAAATTGTTTAGATTTTGATTACATGGGCAGTTCATCTAACAGGTCAGGAAGCAACAACCTCTGACCTGGCAGCTGTGCTGTAGTTGAACTGAGCTCTTGTCCTGGCAATGGTTGATGGTTTCTTAATTTAGTATAATGGTGTTACTTTGGCTGAAGGTGCTTTTGCTGACCTTCTTTCTAACAACTAGACTTGGCCCAGAATAGTTCTAAGCCCAGAGGYAGTCCTTAATGCCATTTTCTCACAAATTTGTTCCAATCTATTTGTGACAGAGCTGACACAGTAGGACAGACCTGTTATTCCTTCCACTAGTTCTACACTCAGAAAATTGACTTTAGAACATGTACTTCTCATAAGAGGAAACTCCAGGCTTACTGGTTCAACCGACAATGTCAACATCATTGCAAGTTTTTCTCACTGAAATATGAAGAATGTTTAAGCTCTTACCTCTACAATAGAAAAGTTTATAGCACAGTTCATGAACAAAGGTCAAAAGCAGAACTAATTGAGAATTACTTGTGAATTGCAATGGACTAATTTACAATTGAAATAAAAGATGTTTCTATTAAAATGCCATAAGCTGTGTAAGTATCAGTGACACATACTAGTTTTTAAGCTTACTGCATCAGTAGGTTTACTGGATCCAGCATCATTATATGCTGTAACAGAAACATAATATTCTGAGCTGCACTGGAGGGATGGCACTATGCAGGAGGCAGAAGATGTGTTACACCTCAGTTTCAGGAGTCCACTGGAGACTGTGACACTGTAAATTAGAGCTCCTTCTGTTGGCATCCAAGAGACGACAGCTCTTAAAGCACCGCTGTTGAAAGCTACTTTAACATCCCCCGGTGCATTAGGACCTATGGAATATCAGTTTCGAACACATAGATATAACTTAGATTATTGCCTACAGACACACAACACACAACTTTKTCATAACTTGTAAACTAAATGAACTTTTTTGTGGTGCAGACCTTACCCTCATTCATGTTAAAATGACATTTAAAAAATATATAGTTCTAGTTGCCAATTGCTGAAACTCCTTGATATTTTGAATATTTGCTTCTCAAAATTAGAAAAATCCTCAAAATCAGTCTAAGCTTGTGTAATCCTTATCCAGATCTGTACTAGGTACAACTTTAGTGACAGTAAATGGTATCTTTGCCTCGGTAATATTCACTAAACATAGCTATGTCATTTGACCTTTCATAAACTTCAAAATGGGGCAAAAATAATATGATCTGAAAATCTACCCAATTATCTTTGAAAAACATAATACAATCACACATACACATAAATACTTTCTGATATATTGTTGCTGCATTGTTTTTGGAATGCTGACTTGGTTTCAGAAAAGAAAATTTCTTACTTGTTCTTTGGTTATAAGTGAAATCATCTCCAGGCATCCCATTGGCATTCCAGGCATAAGCCTTGATAGTATAAAGAGTTCCTGGATCTAGATTTGTAAATACCAAGGAGGTATTGGTGGTGTTCTCCTTCAGCATTCTGCCCAAACCATCTGATCTCATGACTGACACAGAGAATCCAGCTGCCAWAGGCACAGCTTTCCAGCTCACTGCAATGGAGTCACAACTTGGAGAACCAACAGACAGAATTGGAGCAGCCAGGACTGTTGAGAAAGAACAAAATTAAGCTTTTGGGTTTTCAGTAGTATGGTTTAAAAGGGCCAAATTTGAAATGAATACACAGAAAAAACAATCACTAACTCTGCGAGACAAATTCAGTGACAACAAAACCAGAAAAATAAATTAATGYAAGATTGGCAGAATAAATTTGAAAAAAATATTTAGTGCATCAACTATTGTATTGCACATTTTGTGAAATGAATGAAAGCTGTACAGAAAGTGTGAAAGGATGCATGTGTTGAAGAATGAAAACGACCAAGAAGATACTGCATTTCCTGTCCTCTTTAATTTTGGTGTACTGTATTATACCTTTGGTTGCTTCTCTATTCCATTCCTTTAAGTTATGCCTTTTGTTAAAGTAAAATACATATATTCATACAAATTCTAGTGAAACTCCCAACTGAACTTCGAACTTACTGTACCATCATAAAGTAAACCATTAATTCAGACTCTTGTCCTGGCCATTAAGGCAGATGGATGAATTCTAGTCCTCAAAAACTGAAAGAAGAATGTGATCAGTACAATTTAAAATGCAGTATTATAATAATTCAGGACTGGTACATGTATTAATGCTTTATATTATAATTACATTACAGAATTTGAAATAAGATTTTGAAAGTCCACCTGTTTTTACTTTTCTGAATGGTGAAGGCTGGCTTTTYCCTCCTGAATTTATAGATCTGATAGTGATTCTGTACAAGGTGGCAGGTTTCAGTCCCGTCACTGTGCCTGGAGAATTTTTGACTACAGTTTCAACGAAGGAATCTCCATCTTGTGCAGTCAGCATGTAATTAGTAGCCCCAGGTACYGCTTTCCATTCCACTGTGATACTGTTGCTAAGTTTTGAATAAGCTTGGTCAATAACAGGTGTGTCTGGAGCTAAAATGGAAATAATRATAGACATACTGAAGTTGGGAAACTCAGCCCTGTGGAACGTTGCTTGCTCTGAACATTTCATAAAGACAAAATGTAGGACAAATAATCAACACTTTCTACAAATGATCAAAATTTAAGTTAAATGGACTTGCAGTGAACATTAACAAAATTCACAGTCTTGTGGTATTCTAGAACAAATTTCATCTTTCAATAAAAATACTCTAGTGCCCTGAATTCACTATTGAAAAATGCCATTTAACCTAGRTTGCACTGAAAGGTTMTCCTCTACAGCCAATTAACTATATTAATTATTAACTAAAGCAATATACAAAGCAATATATACAAAGAAGTGCATGTTTATACAAAGCAGTCTGAAATAGGATGCTGAATCATAGGCATTTCTATACCAAAGCAGCAWACAATAATTTATTTTGGAAGGGATCACAGGAACTCACCTAACCCCTTGCTCAGAGCAGATAGACAATAACATGACAAATCAAATATTGTGACTAAATGCTTTGATGTTATGTTCTACCATTCAGAAAGAGCTCTTGTGTACTGCAGACATGTAAATAACTACACAGTGTATTTCTTAACCACGAGTAATTAATGTTCTGAAATAAGGATTTTCATGCTAAAATCAGCATTTATAAAGCAATGCTGCAAACACTGCAAAGCTGCAAAATACTCACTAGAAGGGAAAAAAAAAAAGATAAAATGAAGATACATCCCACATAAAATGAAGAAAAGGAATGTAAAAGTATTTGGGACAAAATAGGTGCCTTGAGGCAAACTTTTGCATGGCAAAGTAGCTCATGTGGGATTTGGGAGACCTTAGCAAGTATTATGCACAGCTGCTCCACTAAGCACTAACACCTATGTGCTATATATTCTCTACTTACCTGCTAGGCAAGACTTAGAGTTGGGTTAAGGTTTTCCTGCATAAAAATCTTTGTGAATTGTTACTCAACACAGTATTTTAAATCAAACTAAAAAAAAGTATAGTGCAGCATTTTGCTCAAAGATTGTGAAAGACCCATCTRCAAACATTCCATAGGCATGGCCACAATTAGTATCTTTACCATTTTTACAAAGGGAGCAAAAGAAGATGTCTGTCTATAACTGATAAGAAAGTGTTTGGGACTAAAAGCAGATGTTAATGCTTAATTGAGTAGCTGTGTATCAAATGCAAAACATTGGAAACATTTGTGCAAAGGAGACTGTGCTTCTGGTGAGGTTTTTATATTGGTCTTATTGGTTTGTATGGGCTTTTGTTGGGTTCTTTTTCGGTTTTTTTTTTTTGAGGAAGTGTGATGGTGTTTTCTTCTGATGTTTCTTTTGTTTGTTTTCTTAATTATTAAAATACACAACAATTAATTGGGTGCAAATATGGGACATTTTAAATTCCCATTTGTAGCACAGCTATATAATGAACTGCAGAATTTGTTCCTCTGAGTTTTCTCCCCGGTTCACACTAGTATCAAGGCACAAGTCCGAATATTTGTGTGTGTCCAACAGAATTGTGACTCCTAAAAATGAGATTTAAAATTTATAAAGTTATCAATGTAATTTTTAAAGCCTGAATCAAACATTAAAACAATTTTTGTTAATAAAACTGCTAGAACTTACAGAATATTTTATYAAAAATCACAAGTGTGTTCTCTTCAGACCCATTCAAAAATAGGCAGACAAAACCAAAATACCATTTTGAAAATTTACCTGTGTTTGCTGTAAAGATCTGAAAAGGAAGATGTAACAAAATTAGAAATACAGTGTGAAATTATTTGTTTTTAAAATTAAAAATCTAAGAATATTATTAACAACAACTTAAAAATACTATGTTTTTTAACAAATTTTACTGATATGATGTATTTGCTTGGATTCTTTAAGCATGGAAAGCATATGCAACCGATGAGATTTGTTACACGCAAGCAGATTGTACCTCTTCTATATTTTCCCTTCAAAATTTGCCTATTGATCCCGTTCGCAGCCGTTGACACACTTTAAAAGTATTTTTCAGTCACATGTAAACAGTGCAAAACTGTAATAGTAACTAAATACCAACGCAGAAGCGGATGTCTGAATGTGCTCCACCCTAACTTTTAGTTTACTTTTCCAAAGATTACAGTWTCATCTCTAAAAGTAGCTCTACAGCAAATAAGTTGCACTCACCATTTCCAGGCACCGGAGAAGCACTCCAATAAACGCTAATGATTTACTTTGGCCCATCTTGTCAGGAGTTCGTTCCAGCTTCACACGGGGGCGAGCTGAGGCCGATGCCCAGCGCCGTCTCCCAGCGGTGCTGTCACTGAAGGCGCACTCCCCGGGGGAGAGTAATACAGTAATACAGATTTCTTCTTTAAGTGATGACAGCATTCTAACAAAAAGAATGTCTCCTCCCTGCTGGACCAGAGCCTGACAGCGGCCACCCGAACCCTGGTGACACGGGGCCACCAYAGCACTCGGCTTCTGGCCGCCTGGSTAGTGGGTATCTCTTCTGTTACAGGATGCAGACTCTGTAAAGTTTGGACAAGATTCATAAAACAAGCCGAATGAGATTTGCTCTTCGGCTTATCTATAGTATTTTTGTCCACTTAAAGGGATCATTTCTGTCAGGAATTATATCCTCGTAGGACTTCCCTTTGAATGGCACATCGCCATACAGACTAAGAACTACTCTTCCTCATACCTGGCGTTGTGGAAAGAGAATTTTTCCTCGCATTCCTGCGTATCTGTTCCAGCTGCTGGTTCCCCTTTGAGAACACGATTTTATGTCTTCAAACTGACTTCWGACAGACGTCTGTAGGCGTCAACAACCGCTCTTGTTCTATAACYCGACAGTGTTTTCCTTGCTGGTTTACACGAATGCCATCGGGAACCTGGGGGCCTTTTTCGTGAGGGAACCCCGGTATTCCCGCCGAGGGGACGCGGGACCAGGGCAGGTTTCGCGGAGCCACCCCGGCCAGGTGGTCTCCAGCTTCCCCGTGYTCCCCACACCTTGCCAGGGGCCGCCTCAGGAGTCGGGAGCGGCTCCCGGCCTCCCGGGCTCACCTGCTGAGGAGCAGCAGGAGACTCCTTCCTCAGGAGCGAGCCCTGGTCACCAGGCAGTTTCCCAGTGGGAATTTCGGACCCCATAGTGGCAGACGAAGAAGACCCGGCTCCCGGAGGGCTGGTCCGAGCTCCCCAGGGGCTGATCCCGGCCGGCAGGATCCCGCCCCGCCCGGGATCAGGCAGCGCCCTCGCCACCGCCCCTGAAGAGGAGGGGAAGGCAGCGCTGCCAGGCGGGGCTGCCAGCAAGATGGCGCCGGCRGTGAGGGGACTGAAGAGCTCCGTGTGGCAGAGTGAGTGACCGTGGGGCTCCTTCCCCGGCCCCGCGGTGCGAGCGCTCTGGGGCCCCTGGGTGGGCTCGGAGCCGCTGAGGCGCCGGCTCCGCGTAGCCCGGTGTGTGGGGTCGGGGGTGCCCGCCGAGCGGGGTCCGGGGCCGCTCCCGACGCGCTGCGCCTCGGAGCTGAGGCGGCCGAGCGGGGTCGGGCCCGGGCGGCTCTRTGGGCAGCCGGCTGGCCGGCGGAGGGTGTGGGTGGCGGCTCCTACCGGCTCTTACAGGTGGAGACTCGTCGCGCTGGTGGGAGGTGGCTGTCCGCGCTTGCGGCATTGCCTCGGGTGTCCGCAGTGACTGCGCTGCAAAGAGACCCGTGTGCCTTATTCCCAGATAAGGTTGAGCTCAGCAGGCTACAGCCGGCCRGACCGGCTCTTGAAGAGCTTGAACTTAAGTCAGCTCTTCAGGGACTTGTCTTTTGCATCCGAACTGGCATTTCTGGMGAGTGCTCCGGCCTCAGAAGGGGCTCTCTCCTTTCTGTCTCTCACTTTGTGTTGGGYGTCATGGTTTTCAGTAGAAAACGCTGAAGGTGTTCCCAGGTAGTCTTACAAGTCAACTGCAGATTTTTATCTCCATGTTTAGGAGCAGGTTCTGCTGGTGTTTGCTACAGAAAATGAAATTGTTACTGTTGCCTTTCTTGCTGGATTAGAAAGGCTTTTATAGTATTTCRGGTACTGTGAGACTTTTAGGGAAAAGGCATTAGCAGCCACCTCACCCTAGGCTTAATTGTACTGAGTCTGTGACCCCATGAGCTGTCAGCCAGCCTGGTGACTGTCACTGAACGGGGAAGGTCCTGCTGCCGTCTTGTCTTCATTTTTCTCCCCTGGTTCCACCTGAAAGCTGCGGTTTGGTTGTTTGTGTCGCTGGAAGTGAATATAGAAGAAGCGGAGAAAGAGGAAAGCAGACTCTCCCTCTGCTGTTCAGTCCTCAGTTGCTGGCACCTGTATGCTGCCTGTATGAGTTAGATACCTTTGTTTAAAACTTGACCTTTAGAAGTCCCCACTTCTGCTGCTTTGATTATCCTCATGTCTTGCTCTGTTATTGTGCCTTTGACTGTAAAGCCGGTGTTCTGTCCTGAGATATTTTATAGAAGACTTGGATCTTAAACAGAAGGAACGTGATCAAAGCATTAGTGTGTTTAAGGGGCATAAGGACTTTTGTAATTGGCGTTGCTAGTGTGAGAAAAAAAAATAGAGTCAGTAAATCAGAGTAAATAATAAACCATTTATATTGCAAGCTTAGTTAAGAGGATTCTTCTGAAATGAATGCTTTGTTAGTCAGCYAGTTCCTCTTGCAACAATGAAAATCGATGAACTGAGTTTTAGAGATTGTCTGGCACTTTTTATGGTTAATTGAAGGCTATAAACTGCTGTGCCCTAATGTTTCAGCAAACATGTATGTTGGGGTTTTTTTTAAGGCTGATTTGCCTGAAAATATTGATCCTCATACTTCATGTAGCACCTTACRTTGATGTGTATCTTATTCATGCTCTGTGAATAGGCACAGAAGTTTGAGTTGTGGTGTGCAGAATTGAAGCAGAAGTGTGTGGAAAAGTTAATTCACACAAGTTTACTGTCAGTTAAGTTTACAATTATGGTGATGAAGAAAGCTACCTGTATTTAGGAGCCAATAGTTCCTGTGGATAAAATAAGGAAATACACTGAAAGCTGCTGTGTATAGTTAAGCTCTAAATAAAATCATTTCCACAAGGAATTCTGTCTTTTAATTTTTTTTTTCACAAGTTTAAGTTCCTTTCTAGATTTGTATAATAAGTTCTAGCCTAGCCATAGATAATAYTAGTTTTTGTAACTGATTCAATTATCTTTTTTGTAGTACTTACTTATAGTTCTTTCTTCAGGAAGTGATTTGTAAACAGCTCATTAATTTCCCCAAGGTGTGGTTTGCATTTTTTTTTTCCACAAAGGGACTTGGCAGCCTGCTGTTCTCTCWGGGTTGTGTATAGTTCTTACCTAGATCAGGAAGTAAATGTAGAAGAAAAAATGCCTTTCTAAACTAATGGATTGTATTCAGAGAAGACAAAATCTGTGAGTCTAAATGGGTGAATTATTTTTTTTTTCTTGGTAACAATTTGATTCCTCTAACTGGTAAACTGTTTCTTCTTACAGAGCTAAAATCAGCAATATTTGATGACTTTAGAAAAGAAGAAGAATGGAAGGTACAGTTTTATTATAATTTTTGTAAAAATGCTGTCATCACTTAAAGAAGAAATCTGTATTACTGAGAACAAATGAACAAGTGGCATTTTCARTTAAGATTGTTTTCTCTCCAAGAAACAGATTTTAGTTTGGGTAACTCAGATCTCTGTATAATACCTTTGAAAAGTCTAAAGGCTAGTATAGGAAGAACAAATGGCTAATGTTCTCTGTTTTTTTATTAGTCTTGAAGAAAAATTAGAAAATGTGTTAATCTTCACTTTTCTTTTTAAAGATTTGTACTTTATTAATTTCAAAAATTGCACTGCACTGCAGTACACATGGAGCAGGATTCAGCAGACTGATACCTGTTAGAACTGTTTAAGCTATAAAACAATTTTAACAAAGTACAGATACATTTGACCAGGCATGGGGTAAATTAGCAGGAATTTGAAAGACTTGTGTCCAAGTGAAAGTTTCAATGTACTTTCTAATATGAGTGGGAGGAACAAAGCACTTATTTAAGATGGAACTTATCTTTAGAAATCCTGTACATAGGGAGCTGCCTTCTGAGATTAATTTCCCCCTGCAGTGTTGGAATATACAGGTAATGAAAAAATAGAGAGTAAGAAAGTCATTTCAGCTTCAAACTTCTGTGGCAAGTTGTTGAAGAAATTACATGGGTTTAACATAGCTGATTAACTTATCTAAATACTTGTGTGTTTGTTTTAAATTATATTTAGATAATGCTTTTAGATGATTACACTACTAAATTACTGTCACTGTGCTGCAAAATGACTGATCTACTGGCAGAGGGCATCACAGGTAAGCATAATTCTTATTAAAATAGAGATGGCAGTATCCTAGTAAGAAGAAGGGAAAGACTGAAATTGATAAATTTTGAGAAATTGCCTTTATTTGATTGCTGAAGACAAATAGTTATGAGATATTAAAAGAGTAGACTTTCAGGCTTCGGCAGTAATTAGCCAATTGTGATTTTTTTTTAATGAAAGAAACAAATATTTCTGTGCCTGAAAGCTCAAATCCCTTTTTAATTTTTTTTTTCCTAAAGATTGCTTTAAGGGTTTGGTTTTTGTTTGTTTGTTTGTTTGTTTTTTTTGTTGTTGTTGTTTTGTGCTTTTACTTTTTTTTTTGTTTGGTTGTGGTGAGTTTTGGTTTGAGGTTTTTGTTTGGGTTTTTTTGGGGAGATGGGAATCTGTGTTTGTTTGCTGATGCCTGTTTTTGAAATTGAAATAAATACACAAAATGTGAATGATCTCATTTTTAATTAGCTTTAAGTCTAGATTTTCAGAAATGCTTTTATTAGAGGACATAATTTAGACTTGATTATTTTTTCTACAAGTAGCAAGGCTATTCTTATTCCAGTTATTCAGGATAACATGATTATTCTGGAAGTGTAATAGCAAAGCTGTATCGATTTTGCTTTTTGGTGTGAGTGCTTTAAATCATAAGAAGTGCTGCTTGTGCTTTGTGAGAAACTTTCAGGGGGCATATATGCTCTTCATCAAGAAGAAACCCTTTATTTTTACTGAGTACACTGCTTAAAAGAACCCGTCTTTTCACATCCAGATGGCTGATATTAYTTATCTTTCTTGTCCCTCTCCCACAAAATTTCTGAGCCACAAGAATCTCTCTGCATTTTCAAGCTAGTGTAGTGTAACATTATATAGTAATGACTTTATTAAACAGAGAAAAACAAGAGATGAGTGAAGCTGATTTGCTGAAAATGTCTTAATTTGTGCCTGCAATKATATTGAAAGAGAGTAATTTCCCAGGAAATAGGCAAACAAAGGACAGAAGAGGCTGTAGTCCAAAATGATGCCCTGCATAGTTCTCTCCCTCTCTTTCAGTGTGCTGGAAACAGAACTATCTTGCCAAGACARTTCATATTGGGCCCCATAGTTTCAGCATGTTTCCGTTGCCATTCCTTCTGTG